AGCAGAAAGGCAACTGTCAAAGAACCGCCGGAAATCATTGCCGGATGGATGGATAGAGAGATCGGGAGAGAGGAGGGCTAGAGAGGGTGAGTAATGTAGAGAGAAGATTATGAGAGTGAAGTGAGTGACGGTTGCCTTCCCCCTCTCTATTATATAGGTAGTTTAAAAAGAAATGAATGGCCACGATCTCAACCCTAGATCCAACGGTTGAGATCTTGTCTAATAAAAAGGGACACGGGTCAAAAGCGGGTCACGAGTCGCAGGCATGGTTAACCAGCGGGTCGCGGGCTGCAGTTATGGGTTAAGGTAAGTGGATCGTGGGCCTGGGTCGTAAGTCTGGGCCCAGGTGCACTTGGGCTGCAAGAATGGGTGTATTTTGTGTATAAAATGGGGTGGATCAATTTGGACAAAAATCCAACAGCATCATTGGTGAAACCAGAAGCCACGTGCCAACAAGTCAACATAAATACATACGGGGTAAATGCATCGACATTTATGTGTATGAAAACAATTATTCATTCACATTTTTTAGCAGGATTGAGATCAAATGACTTTGGAAAAGCTAGTGTGTTTTTAAGTGTTGAATGGATCTTTAACATAAAATATAGGTATTCGATATAGGGTTTCTTTCTTTTTGGAGAATGAAACCATCTTTATTTCGATTTTTTTAGCCCGAAAAATAAAATCGGAAACACAAACAACCACACCAAGTTTCAATCCAAAAAGAACAATCTATGAATTCCAACTATCCCCCAATTTTACATTAACTCAACTTCCAATTGATCCAGTGCAAGCAACAAGCAACAACAACAACAATCGAGGGTATGGACACTATGAAGACTAAAATGAACATGTTCTTTTGCATCTACAAAAGTCACAAGCCGAAGAACAACCAGTAAACCCTAAATCTCGTCCACCTCAGATGAAACAAAATCAAACAGACAAATCATCGAACATCTTCAAATCAGTAAAGTACAAGAGAATTACCGAACCCTAAAAACCCCATCACTAACATCAGATTTCACACAATCGCATTAGTTCTAACCCTACCTCCCAATTCACATTCGACAACTTCCAATCAAGTTAAACACAGCTTGCAATCAGCAGCTTACAAATTAACTAATCCATAAAATTCTAGAAAACACGGAAAAACTTACAATTACGCCGCCCCCTCTTTCTCCCCATTATTCCGCCCACATTAAACGTTTTATTATAATTTTTTATTTTATTTTATTATGATGTGGGAATAGCCACTATGATGTCGCCTCTAATTTTTCGAAGAATATTTATCAATCTTCGATTTCCAATGTTTTTTATTATTTAAATTTTTTATTAATAAATAACTGTTGAATTAAGATATTTGTAATAAAATTTATATGTTAAAAAATAGTAATAATCTTTTTTATATAATGTTATGTTAGTAGATTATATAATATATCAATGATGCTGAAATTATTATAAAGTTTACAAATACGTTTTTATTCTTACAATGATATTTTATATATAAAATTAAACAATATTTTATACTACGGCAATGGTCTTCTTAAGTTTTCTTTTTCTTAATTCTTTAATATATATAATTTTTATAATTTTCTATAAAAATACAATATCTACATTAACATTCTTATTTAAATGAATTATACAAATCCATATATAATTAGGCGATGTATTTAGTTGAAATACAATTATACTATCATTTTTAATACTTTATTATGGTATTGTATTGATATAATATATAAGTTTTATTTTAATAATATAAATTCTGATATTTTTAAGGCAAAAATAACTATTTAATACATATTTTAAATAAGGATACAGATTAAATATAGTGTATTTTTGTTACCTTGATTGAATAGATTGAAAACAATAATTACATCATAAAAATGAAATTACTTCAGGCTCCTTTCACTACAAGAAAAAATCATTTTTGTAAAAAATTTTTTTTATCTCTAAATATACTTTTTCCGTTATAATAACATTAGAGACGGAATTGGTAATAGAATTACGTTAACTACGTGAACTTCAGACACGGAATTCCGTTACAAATATATTATTTTTTTGTAGTGTTTATTAACAAATCATTCACAACAACAACAACAACAACAACAACAACAATAATAATAATAATAATAATAATAATAATAATAATAATAAGTATTCTCTTATTTCTACATTGATACTATTTACTACTTTATTTATTAGTTTAAGCGTGATTTTTATTTCTTTTTTTTCACATTGAATTCATAATTGTACTTTATCTTCTTTAAAAAATGAGATAAATAACTTTTATTTGGATCATATAATATAAAAGTATAATTAATATAAAATATGATATTTAAAAATTTGAAAAAAATACTTTATTTATGTATAAATTTTACTTTCAATGATTACACTCTCCCCCAAATTATTCTTTTAATTAAATCATACATATTTTACTTTTATTCTTTTTTTATTATAAAATTGTGAATTTTAAATTTAATAATATTTGAAGGAAAGTAATTAATAGATATAATATTTTAAATAGGACATAAAAATAAATGTAATAACTTAAAATAGTAAATAATCATTAAAAAATAGAAAAAAAATGTAGATAAGCAATAATGTTTGAATAGTTTATGTTAATAAGTTTTAACACTGAGCAAGTATTTAATTTCCATTTTAATTAAAAAAAATATTTAATATATTTTGGTGATTCAATGTTAACTTCATAGAAAAACATTTAAAAAATTTGTTTTGATTATTTACTATTATCTCATTAAACTCGCTATCTATTTTATTAGTACAAAACTAATCTGTATATTATGAGAAAAATACTAAAAAAATATTAAGTATATTTTGGTGCAGATAATTAGAATTATAATTGTAATAATATAAATCTACATTTTTGATGTGATTTTTAAATCAATTTTAATATATATGTTTGATAAAAAGTTTCGAATGATATTTTAAAGAGTAAATAAATACTAAACACAAATAAAATCCAACCCAAAATCTATGTAGAAGGTCAAGAATTTTTGGAAATTTTGGAGAATTAAATTTCATAACAATATACTTAAAATCTAATTATATTAGCAAGTGTAATCTTGGAGAACAAAAAAATTAATTTATTTGCAATTCACATTTTTATTACTGAAAAAAATAAAATTTAAACATTATAACTATATAGTAAACACAAATGAAAAAGACCATACAACATGCTCTGTATCTCTTGCAAGCACGATTGGAATATCCATAGATCTTGCAAGCATTATATTGAAAATAATTAATTGATTAGACTGAGAAATAAAATGAATTGACAAATATCAGGACGATAAATATGAAAATTAAATGTGGGACGTACATGTACAATTTATGCGGCCTAAATGCACTAATGCGCACATTCTCTATCATAAAATGGAACACTTATGACCTACGAATATTTTGGTACTTTCATTCTATATAGAGATTAAAATATTCGGATAAACACGCTTGCATACATGAAAAGTGATATTTTCTCCGTGTCATATAAAACGGCTATCAACTTTACCGTTATTCCTTCACAACTACCTAGGACCCTGCAATGTGCCAAAGACGACAACCATACCATGTCACGTAAGCACATTAAAGAGGGCACATATCTAAAAAAAAAAAGAACAGTTCTACTATTGTTTAATAATATTGTAAATTATGGTATATGTAGTAGCATCAATATTAAAAGATTTGTCCACTTTGTATTTTTGGATTATGTAATTATCTTTTTATTTTTGTTGGTTACATAAAAATAATATGTTACGTAGAATTGTAAATCTTTTGTAAATAAATTAAATATATACATTATATAATATTATTTATTATATTTTTTAAATAGTATTTATAAAAACTTATGCTACCTAAAAAAGTAAGCGGACAAACCCTTTTATACATATAATAACATTATTTGTTTTTATAACTTTCTAAGCATCAAGTCTATATTTAGGAAATATTACAAACATATATTGTTTTATTACATATGTTATAATCGGACACGTAATAGTATTTTAAAAACCATTGTAATCTTTTGTTTGGTTATTTGGTTTTGATCTTAGAATTTTTATTTTTTATTTTTGTAAATAATTTTTTATATGATATTTAAAAAAATATTGTATATATATATATATTTATCTAAGAGCATGACAAATTCAAATAAAAAGCAAACCAATCCTTTTAATTTGGTTTCAATGTTTTATTATGCAATTATTGGAAGTTTTATCAAATTAATTACTACATATGTTCTACATATAATGATTCATTTTTCATTTTTTGTCTATCCACAAAAGGATGACATGTTTTAAATTTTTATAATTTATATATTTAAAAAAATTAATTAATCTAATTAATTATTTAAATTTTACACTATCAAAAATTCGTTTATTTGCCTCGTAAATAGCTTTGGAATCAATTTCAAGACTATCAAAAAATATATATTATAAATATTAAATCAATTAAATTTGTTGCTTCAAAATTTCCAAGAATATTTAAAAATTCTAAACTATTTTAAATATATAATTTATTATATTGATTAGTTTCGGAATTTCTGCACCTATTTTGGTTAGTCTCGGAATTTTCGAAGCTATTTTGATTAGTTTCAGAAATTTCGAGATTTCTAGTCTAAAAAAAAATCTCGTAATTTTGGAACATATTTTAATTTGTTTGTTTTATTCGTCCGGGGCATCGATCCATATGTTCTCATACGGCTCCTCGTTGCATAGATTATAGCCTTCTTGTCGGGGGAAGAATCGCTTCTGCGTAACGGAATGTATAACGGGGCGCTTCCCGTAAACAATTACCTCCGAGAAATAAATACTATTTCTCATTATACCTATCATATCTGTGTGAACAAACGAGGTCATATAGTTAGCAAAAATGGTCAGGCCTCCGAGGTCTTCGATCTCCACCCACTCGTTTGCAGCGCTGTCGAGCTTATGTACAAAAGGGTTAAGAAACGGGTAAGCGTATATCAAATAAATATCCCCGGCATGCCCTTAGTCGAGCGGGTTTGCCCTTATACACTCTGGCCGTTCCAAGGGGAGGACGGACCAGGCACTATTATCGGGATCGTAACATCCCAATTGGCCGCTTTGGCTAAGACAATAGAAGCGTCCGTTGCAAAAAGTCCATTGATTCGGATTGCTGCTGACGAACGGTTCCGCATTCTTGAAATGGTTGACAGTCCATGCTTCATCCCCGGGGCGATATGTGCTGATTGCAATCACATGGGGCTGAAGCTGCATTAGCGCAATCACAATGCAGCCGAGAGTATTTGGCGCGGCTGAAAAGGCGGCTAATTTACTCGGAAAATCCATTTGCGGCAATTCAACGGCCTTCTGAGTGTACAGGCTGTAGAGCAACAACCAGCGGTCCTTGCAGTAACAGACGAGTCTGTACTTTATCCCGGACAGCCGTACGTAATGCGACTCGCGCTCAAGCGGGTTGGAAAACTCGGTTATTTTATACATCCACAAGTGGTACATGATCCAAGGGTGCTTGTTGGATACAAGCACGGACTTTGCCACAGCCATCCATCTGTGGCAGACCCAGATGCCCGGAGGTTGTCTACCAGACTTAGGCGCGTGAGGATGTTTTCCAGAAGTTCGACTGGAATATCCGACTCTTCGGCCTTTTTATTTGGCCTCCTCGGAAAATCCTCGATTCTGAGGCTCGATTGGTTACTTTTTTTCCTAGAGATCCTGCAAGCATTATATTGAAAATAATTAATCGATTAGACTGAGAAACAAAAAGAACTAACAAATGTCTGACCATAAATATCAAAATTAAATGTGCGACGTACATGTACAATTTATGCGGCCTAAATGCACTAATACACAACATGCTTTATCATAAAATTGAACTCTTATAACATACGAATATTTTGGCACTTTCATTCTATGTAGAGAATTAATATGATCTGATAAACACAAGTGCATACATGTAAAGTGATCTTAATTATCATCTATCATAGCCATTTTCAATCTACATTGAAATCAACCTTTCAAGCATAATTAATTGCATAGAAGAAAGATTATGATTTTGCTGAATAGAACTGTGGAAAATCAAGTTTCCCTGAAGCAGCACAAAAATTGAATTCTATGGTAAACTCAAATTAACATCCACACCCAACAAGCATTAGAATCAACAACCGAAAACAACCTGCAGATGCATCAGAAACGAAACCCAAAACCCTAACCAAGAAAAAATACAAAAAGAAATCGAAGGATAATCAACCTCTACGCCTAAAGCATAAACAACAATGAATCACAACAAAAAGAGCACAAGAAGAAACTCCAATTCAAATCGCCTGAAAATTTGAAAAATCAAAACAATAATCTCAGAATTTTCATCAGCTCAGCATGATTGATTGCCGGATCGGAGCTCTGTATAGAGCCGAGTAGTTGTGAAAGGGAGAGGGGAAATGGAGCGCCGCTGCTGCTGTTGCTGCTGCGATGGAACCGACGGTGAGAAGAGCGAAATATTTGTTGTTTTCGGACACAGGTATAAGCAGAGGCTTATGTACCTACACTGACACTGACACTGACACTTGACACGTGCAACTTTAATTTCACGGGACCTTTCACAATACATATAATTACAAAATTAATAAATATAGAATGCATAATAATTATATTACTATAATATTATGGTAATAAAATTGTAAAAATAATAGTAAAAAAAGTTGTTGCCTAGAAATTTAATATGAAACAATTAAGGAAGTATTAATTGATTATTTAAAGATTTTTTTTATTTAATACTCGCCGGCATGTTTATATATGATGCAACATTTAGTTTTCGGTACAGAAATTTAACTTTGTAGCATTAAATATAATAAATTGAAAATATGGTGATGTTATTAAACAAAAAAGTGTATTCTTATTTTTATTTGAGTGATAGGATAAAATAAAAATTAGTTAATTATTTTATATTTTGAAATATTGCAACCGGAGATAAATAAGTAAAAAAATTGTATTGATAATATACAAAATAATATATTATATAAAATTGTAGAGTTTTTCTTAGGGATGTTAAATGGGGTGGGTTAGCCCCGACCAGCCCCGGACCCAGTTTTAATGGGGCGGGTTCGGGTGTATTAGCAAAAATTGTCGATGCTACTACTACCGAACCAGGGATTATTTTTGTAATAACGACCAAGGAGACATTATCCCGCGCCACAATCCGACTACCATTTCTGCACGTATTTTGATTAGTCTCAAAATTTCCGAAGCTATTTTGATTAGGTTTAGAAATAGTCTCGGAAAAATCTCGTAATTTCGGAACCTATTTTAATTCGTTTGTTTTATTCATCCACGAGTGGTACATGATCCAAGGGTGCTTGTTGGATACGCGGACGGACTTTAGGGTTTAGCCACAGCCATCCATCTGTCGTAGACGCAAGAAGCCCGGAGGTTGTTTAACAGGCTTAGGCGCGAGAGTATCTTTTCCAAAAGCACGTCTGGAACATCCGACTCTTCGGCCTGTTTATTTGGCCTCCTCGGAAAATCCTCAATTTTGAGGCTCGATTCGTTGCTTGTTTTCCTAGAGATCCTGCAAGCATTATATTGAAAATAATTAATTGATTAAACTGAGAAACAAAATGAAGTAACAAATTTCGGACGATAAATATGATAATTAAATGTGTGATATAATGTACAATTTATGCTGCGTAAATGCACTAATACACGACATTCTTTATCATAATATGGAACTCTTATGACCTACGAGCATTTTGGCACTTTCCGATTTCGCTTTCCGCTGCCTCTTTCGACCCATGATTCCAATGGCTCCTCCAAAAACCTAACACGGACGGCCGGCACTCAGATACTGCTGCAGCGATTGACGCCGATGAGGGTTCTAGAACCTGTAACGTATCGGCATGGTAGTACACACATATATAAGAAGACATGTACCTCGTGCGTATTTATTTCATTATGCTGTAGGAAAAATAGCCTCGACGGCGTCGTCTGTCATTATCTGAAGAATATTTGTCACTCTTAGATTTCCAATGTGTTTTATTATTTGAATTTTTTTATTAATAAATAATTGTTGAATTAAGATTTTTGTAATAAAATTTAGATGTTAAAAAATAGTAATATTATTTTTTTAAATGCAATTTTATGTTAGTAGATTATATATACACGGTTTGTTTCATATTGCATTTCTCGTCGGCAAAATTCCCCATAAATATGTTGAGTTTGGAAAGTTTTGATGTGTATTGATTTGATGGTAATGAATATAATAATATAAATATGTATTAATTTGTATAATTTGATTATAAATTTATTTTATATCTACATATATATTTATAAATTTTTATTTGTTTGTATTATAAAAAATTTCAGTCTCTATAATTATTTTATTCAATTATAATTATTATAATTTTTTATTTATAATTTAGAAAAAACTTTAAAAACTTAAAAAAAAAAAAAATGACATACACGGCCAAGCCGTGTCCCCCCAAAACCAAACACCCCAAGTTTGGCAAACTTGGGCCGTAGAAACACACCCTTGTATGTTAAAAAATAGTAATATTATTTATTTTTTAATGTAATTAGTGGATTATATATACACGGTTTGTTTCACATTGCATTTCTTGTTGGCACAATTCCCCGTAAATATTAACTAAAAGAAATGGAACTCTTAAATGTGCGACGTATATGTACAATTTATGCGGCCTAAATGCACTAATACATAATATTCTTTATCATAAAATTGCTAATCTTTTCACTAATACTCATCGAATCCGTTTATACTAAAAAAATCCACACAAATCGCATACCCAAGAAAATAAGAGTTAATCAAATACTTTTTTTTTTTTTATACTATACTTAAAATCAATTTTATAGTCAAGATATCACATACACACCTATTTATATAACATCATACAACTATTTTAATTCAATTTTTTACTATCAAAATCCAAACCTCAACAAAACTAAATCGGCCAAGTTTAGAAAAAAGAGGGTTGTAAATTTCCTTTTAGTTACTAAAGTTGATATATAAATTATATCTATATACCTATAAAAAATTAGAAGAGTGTGTAGCCATTACTGTGTCAAGGGAATTTTTGCTTAAAACAATTTTCATTCGTCAAGTGTGCCATCGATTGTGGTAGGAGTTTGTTTATCACTGGTATGTGATTGTGTTATGTCTTTTTCTTCTTTAACATGTGTAATTTTGTTCTCTATTATTTGTATTTGTTAAATACTACTCTGAAATAAATACATGTAGCCTACTTATCCTAGAAGTTTATCTTTTTCCACATTCTCTTTCCTTCAATTCCATATCGAACTTTGTTGCTCGTCCCATGTTGAGGATGAGAGAAATAAATCAACCAACATGTAAAGCATTGATGGAGGGAAAAGTTGGCACTTTGATAACTTGTTCTAAATTGAGAGTGTTATAGTTAGTTGTTGGTAAACTTAATGTTCTCTTGTGTTTTTACTAATCCAAGATTTACTAAGCTGTATTCTCACTAAATCAAATCAATATCGAACAAATCTTAAAGAAAACTTCGATTTTTTACGGAAGCAACAGTTCGGACTCAGTTTACCCTATTATGAAGCAAAATCGACACCAAACACACATCCAAGACCCCGACCAAAAATGAGACGCCACGGAAACGCAACAAACACGCAAACCCGAAACCCAATCTAAGTAAACACTGCCGAAATTTAAGCCTAAACAACATCGCAGACAAGTTACACCGCGAAGAACAATAAGGTATAAATCAAGCAAACCAAACAGTAGAAACTCCCAAGGGGGAAGGCTCGCATCGAAGAAGAAAGAGAACTTCCCAAGTTGCTGGACAGATTCACTGGAGAATGCAGGCGCGCGAAGTCGACGGAATCGCACTGGAATCGCCTAGGGCTTTCGAGAGAGTATCACAATCTGAATATGTAATGTTCTGAATGAGTGAATTGAGTGAACCGGTTCAAGGATCAGCATTATATATATAGATCAGCAGACACGGTTCAGGTCCAACAAGGCAGCCTGCAAACCAACGAGTCTCACAAAGGTTCGGGTCGGGTAGCGGGTTGCTGGATCCGGGCATCAATTTTGGGCGGGTCAGTTGTGTGCGTTTTAGGCCTCAATAATCACCGGACAAAATATATAACAATCTCCACCTTATTTTGGGCGTGGAAGATTGTTTTTCTCGGGTGTCATCACGGTCCGAATTTTCATTGCTACCTAGTATTTTAGTTCATTTTAGCCAAATTGTTGAATTACTCTCCTGTAAAAAGAAACTTGAAATCAAGTTAGGTTTAAAAACAATATAGAAACCTATTATGATACATGATAAAACCGAAAGCTACGCAGAAGTAGCACCGGCTAATCAAATGTATCAAAGCATATAATTTTCATACAAGATACAAACACATTAGTTTTCCAAAACTTTCTATCTTCACCAACAGGATTATATTCAAATTCAACTATTAACAAAGCTACTAAACATTGTAATTATGTGTTACAACAAAAATATGTATCAGACAATATACAAACAGGAAAAACATCAAGTTTTCTAGTGCAC